TTTCGGACAACGTCGAATGGGGAAATAGGGAGCCGTGGAGAAAGGTCGTGATGCCGAACGATGTTGCACGGTATCATGGGTGTAATTGGATGTTTCCGGTCGAGCGAAGGGAAATAACGACGAGGATGACGTCGTAGTCGAACTGGAACCGTCTCGCGACAGCTCGAATGACGACCGGTGGATGCATCTTCGGAAACTGTCCCGCGAGAGAGGTCACGATCCTGACGGCAATATGACCGACAGAATCACATAGTGGCGCGTGGCGTGTCAGAGCCGACACGGGACTTGTGCATTCTCTACCCCTTCCGAGGGGTGTCTTGTGAACTGTGTGTACCAACGTGGCGAATATTTCGTTCAGGGGGGGGCTTTGGATCTAAATCCAAGACGCAGACATGTCGAGGCGACATCATCCGGGTCGGCTCGACGTAGAATCAGCTGCCATCGACTCGTTGTGAACGCGTCGGAAAGGGTGGTGGCTAGATATATATAGGTAGAGAATAAGGCGGTGAAGAAGAGGAAGAAGAGGGTGGATCAAGAGCGTGAGCCGAGGCGCAAAATGGGAGCAACGAAATTCGTGTTGGGAAGCGCAATCCTCGGACTGTTCTGGAGTGGCTTGTTGAAGGGTGTCCTAACCAATTCGATGAACAGGTGCGACTATCCTCCCTGCTTCTGCGATCACCACGGCAGACTGACCTGCGAGTGTAAAGAGGAAGGAGAGGTATGTTCCCCTTGTAGACGTAGCCTAAGAAACTGCTTATCCGGCCTCGATCTTATCGCGAGAGAAATACACCCGGCGCGTAAAGATCGCGAGACGAAATAAAATAAAGGAAGGGACGGTCCTGGGAGAGGGATTCGTAGGGACGAGGAAAGTTTACGTGGGCCGTTCTAAATCTCGGCGAGCGTCGTTCACCCTCCGAGAAGAAAAGAAACTTCACCCCCGTTCGGTCTGGCGCGAAATAGCCCATCGCGTTTAACTTTGGCTCCTTTCGTTTCGTCGATTTCATTTCGTGCCCCTGGCCCAGGAGAGCCGTCCTCTCCGGGCCAATCGTCGTCTCGAATCTCCCTTGCCCTCCTCCTTTCTGTCTCCCTACCTCCCATCCCTTTTCCACCCATCTGGCCCAGGAGAGCCGTCCTCTCCGGGCCAATCGTCGTCTCGAATCTCCCTTGCCCTCCTCCTCTCTGTCTCCCTACCTCCCATCCCTTTTCCACCCATCTCTCTCTCTCTCTCTCTTCTCCTCTCGCTATTCCTTGCGTACCTATTTCGCGCCCCTTCTTTCCCACGAATTCATCGAGAGAACCGCGGCGAGTGGTCTCTATCTCACGAAAAATCGCAGACAATGCGACACCGGGGTCCGGCAGCAGATCTCCTTTGTTCGCGGGCCACATTATTCCGCGGCGGCTTCGAATTATCGAGCAGGAAAAAGATAAAGACCTAAATCGAGTTTGCACGCGACAGAGAAGGGGCGTGTTGCTCGCCCCCTCTTCGACCCCTGCGTTCTCGGTCTCCGGACTTTTTGGCGGATCAATTACACGCGGGGCCCAGTCGTTATCGTCCCCGGAACCGAGTCACGCGCGATCCGATGGTTGCGTTCCATCATCGAGTCGATGCCAAGGAGCTATCAAGGGGTTGTCAAAATAAAAACGAGAAATAAGAACGAAAAAGCGAGGGTGCTGATCTCTGGGAGACGCGTTCCCGCGTAAATGGCAAGGGAGGAGGCCACTTACGCGGAGAGGCGAAACGTCCATAAATTAGAGCGTGTTTACGCAAATCGGAGGGCCAGACGTTGCTGGCAGGTAGGTAAGGTGCGCGCAGGGCTCTTATTTTCCCACCTGTCTCGACCGTCCCTCATCCACACCTTTCTCCCCGATATTTATTACCCCGGACTGATACAGGTAACCAACCCTGCTCCAGGAAAAATGCTGTACGCGGAGAAAAATGGCGGTGTTGACGGATCGCGACCGCGTCTGTCCCTCTGTCTCTCCTCGATTCCTTTCGAATCTATTTCGAATCCATTGCCGACCCATCCGGATTGACCAGGCTTTTTCGTCGTCTACTCGCGGGAAAAAGAGAAGAAACTCGCGATATCCGGCGCGTTATCGAGGCGGAGTTGTCGTCTCAAGGTCCCGCCTCGAAATCACCTATTATTACACCTACGAATTCCAGTACACAATGAAGCAAGTTTCGTTTATCGCGCGCCCTTGGAGGCATCCCGGCGTCGTTACGGGCCGAGATAAAGCGTTCTTTGTCCCCGGGGACAGGTCGGCGCGTCTCTAAGCGACGCGAGAGTTACGCCAGGCTGGAGCCCTGGCACAATGCCGTAAACTCGATCCGTGAAGCTGCTCTGGCCGGTGACGAAACGTCCGTAAGAACAGCAGATCGGTTGCCGACAGGCGAATGACGAATTTTCCGCGCCAGCGAAATAGTCGAATTTCGAGAAAGTCTCGAAGTGAAATCGGCGAGACGCGGACTGGTCGATTAGGTATCGCTTGCGTAATCCACGCGGATCTACATAAATCGTCGATCAGGTGGTATTTAGGGACAGGTTCTCGGAACTGACGATGAGATTTCCATTTCTCCGACACGCAGCGAGAAATCCTCCGAGCGAATTCGCGATATCGTCGCGACCGCGACTCGCGTAGGCGCCGCGTGTCGCGTGCGCGGATAAAGGAAGTGGTCGATCGTGGGTCGGATAAATTACGGATCGTATGTCATCGGCGTCGAAGATCGCGTGGTCTGCTCAGAAGCATTGCTACCGGATCGACGGCTGACGTCGCGCCGCGAGAAACGGACCCGCCATTTTGCGCCATCGATTCCCCATCGATTCCCGATCTTCGCTACCGTTTCGCAGTCTAGACTCTAACAACGGGGCCAATTATCGGGGGCCAGTTCCCCGAGTGGAAAACTCGAATGGACAGAGAGAGGTCAATAATGTGCCACGGCACCATTCCGCGCGCTGACGGCCATCTTGTTGCGCAAAGGGTGCACCGATGCTCGCGGAAGGACGCGATACACTGGACGTTCCGCGAACTCGTTTCAGGAAACCTTGGCTAACAACCAGGAAGAAGAGAACGGGGGAGAAAAAGGCAGAGAAAGATGCGGCAACTTGTGTATGGAGGGGCCCGCGAGTTCTACCGTGGATTTCGCATAATACAGCCGGCATTTCACGAACACGCTCAGCCAATTTGTCGCGCCGTCAACTCGTGACTACGAATATATCGAGAGAGAGAGAGGGGGGGGACTCCTTTTCCGAGCTTTTGCCCTGTCGCGTTTTCTAGCCCCCTCTTTCTCATTTCCGCCTAGCTCATCCGAGTTTCTTCTTCGGACCCATTATCTGATGCTTAGCTGTCCCGGAAATGGAATCATTAACTGCAATACGCTATCGTATTCACTTGAGAACACCTAGCCCCCCTTCGCAGTTTCTTCCTCGGACCCATTATCCGCTGCTTAGCTGTCCCGGAAACGGATCACTCCGCTTCGAATGATACGCGGAATCATTAACTGCGAGTAATACGGTATCACATTCGTTCAAGAACTCCGAGAACACCGGGAACACAGTGGGTTAGAGAAGAACCCCTGATGTTGACGAAAATTTGACAGCGGTTTGCTGTCACAAACGATAAAAGCTTCCCGTTTCCGTCTTTTCTCCCTTCCCGATTTCATTGACGGGACACGCATGACGATACCTCGTCCACGACAAGAGGAAAACGCTCGTCCGATCGAGCGGAGTTGCAATGGCAGCGAGTCAGCGCGAGCAAAGTTGTCACGCGCGCCGCTGAATAATTGACGAGGCGGTAAATAATCGAGGAAACCTTTTAGCGGGTACAGCCTTAAACTCGGCCGCGTTTCCCGTAACGAGAAGACGTCGAAATAAGGAAGGCAGGAGAGGAAATAAAGAACGCGAGCTACGCTGCGGGCTTCGCGAGGCGTGTAAAAGTAACAGCTATAAGCACCACGGGCTGTGAGTACGTAGAGAGCCATACGACGTGTTATGAAAATGCTCGGCAAATGGAAACTCGATGGGGGAAACTGGCTCGGGTCACACGGAGTCGTAGAAGACCCTAGAACCATCCGGTACCTGTCAACGGAATTCGCCGCGAAATAGTAATTATCACCGTGTCATTGGTTATTCGAGTATCCAGCATGGCGCATGAGGAAATTATTCTGAAGGAAGCTGCTGATATCGTCGATGAAGAAACAAGCGGACACCCTGGACGATGAATAGTTAACGAACGAATAGAAAGCTGTTCGTTTCTCGGCGTCCAAACGCCATGGAGGACAATACGAGCGCGTGTACTATCAATTATCGTATTTCCAGAGTCGCAGCGATAGAACGCGTAAATAAACGAAAGAACGGCACGGGGGGACGAGAGTAACGAGTGGCCAGCACCGCGAGGCAACCGATTTCGCATAAATCCTTTATAGGTCGTAAAAGAACGTGCCCTTTCGTTCCACGACCTCTCCGCAGCGCCCCCTATGCAGCTCGAGCTGGTCGGAGGGTAAGGGTTGCGACTCACGGCGGTTCCATAAACCGGAAACCACCGGGTGCTCGCGTTTAATCCGCCATTAGGCTGATTTCGTTCTCGTTCTCGTTCCGTGGAGCGCTGTAATCGTTCCCCGATACGCGCGGCGCCACGATACTCGAAATCGTTGACGCAGTCCCTTGCCAGGTATAATTTCATTAGCGTCTCTAACGCGCCTCTAATCGACGCTCGCACCCGACGTGCTTTCTAATTAAAATTAAGCTCGACGCGCTTCCATCGGGCTGAAACACCCCCGTGGGGCACCGCGTGGCACGTCTCGCTGGCGCGGCTCGATGATTGCCCCTCCTTTTTCTTCTCTTTCCCCCCTTTTCTTTTCGAAACAGAGTCGTTAAACCAGCAACGAGAGCAATGCACCACGGGATCGATCGGATCGATCACCGAGCATCCGCCTAATCGCGAATCAAGTCCCCCGACGCGCTGCTGCAGCGCGTACTTTGTGCGCCTGTTCTCCATGCTCGAGGACGTCTGGAGAATAGGAGAGGAGGTATCGCACGCTCGATAGAATTACACGCCGCGAAAGACACACGCTGGCTGGCGCGGGTTTAACCCTTTGCACTCGACGATTTTTTGACTAAAGAATAGCAGACGTTCAAAGATTTACTGCTGTAAAGCTGAGGGTACTTTTTTCAACAATAAACAAAAAATCTTGTAATAATTAACACGTAGAATTACTCGATTTCGGTACCTCGTGCACCGTTACATTATTCTAAATTTGACATATTAATTAACACTAGGCTTACGGACAATCTGGGCAATCTGTATACCTATTTCTACGGACACCTGTCAAATTGACAGGTAAAGCGAACCACGTGTCTCTTCTTCTTTTAACCATTAGTTTAATTTAAAAACAATTACAATATCAGCAGTCTCTATCAGTGAGTAGACTAGTCCTATGGCTATAGTACTCTGAAAATGGCTGTACTCGTATTGTATTGCCCATTGTTAATATTCCCTGCGATAATTGATCTATCCAATGGTCATTCTGGAATTGCTGCGGAATTTAGTGATCAGTGAATAGATTAATCCAAAGTATATAAGTTGACTAAATCTGTTATCGTCGTATAATTGGAGCAAGGCATCCGTGAAATTGACGGCTTTCGTAAATCTAGTGTTAATATCTTCGAAATTTTATCAAATGGCGGTTGGAAGGGTTAAGCCTGATCCGTTGAAGAGGAATATCGCGTAGTCGTTCCCGCCTGCCACCCCCTTCGTCGCCCGGCCCCCCTCGTGCCCGTGGGAGAAGGAGACTGCGGGAAAATAAAATGCCGATTCCCGTTGGGACCATTCGGTGGTTCCCGTTCGAACCGTTCGCGTTCCCTTGCCTCCGATGACTAATTTGCGTCGCGATGGGCGGTGAATATTCAACGACGCCTCGTTCAGACTCCTCCGAACGATACACCGGCTCCGTGATATATCGTAATAGCGGTTCCCCCGTTGTAATATACGTGTGGTACACGCTGGAAGAGTCTCGAAGAGAGGAGAGCCAGAGAGAGAGACTCGCGCAGAGGTCCAGTGGTGATGGACGGCGAGCAAAACTGCGAGGGACGGAAACGAGAAGGTTGGCTGGACGAGCGTGTAATTGTTCCGAAGGTGAAAAACGAGCCGTACACGCGAAGACAAGCATTTCGGCTGCGGTAATCTTTTCTATGGCCGGAGATTGTGTGTCGGGAATTGACCGAGAACAATGAGGCGGGAACAAAGGTCGGGAGACAGGAAGGGACGCGAGGAGAGATTGCGTCGGGGGCGAGACGCCGTAGCGTGGCGCTGGTGCCTGAGAAAAAGGGGGCCACAAAGGTTTCGCTTTTATCGACGACCACGCGGGGCCTTCTTTATTTTCATACGCTTCGCGCCCTCCTTTGCCTCCCCCCATTCACCACGCGCGCGGCCTTCTTTCCATCCTTCATTCACCGCTAATGTTGTGGCCAACCTCGAAACTCCTTCCTTCCAGAACCCGTTGAATAATAAACAGGGCCCCCTACGTCCGCGTCCATGCCTCTACCCGCTGTCTTTAACCGTTTCGCTGAAACCACGATTAATCCCCCCTTCCAGTACATCTTGCTGCCCCAAAAACCGGAGTACCATCCCAGTAAATCGGCCTGATTTATTTCTCAAGTGACACGAAGAACAATCTAGCACTCGAGCTCTCGATGAATCACCGAACAATCAACGAAATGAACACACTACACCTTCCACGAACCACTCGTTATCGGGTCGCTGCGATTGCTTAGGGAACGCGATAATCCGATGAATGGATCAGCCCGAGGAACGAGATATCTGTTTACCAGCGTCTACGCTCAGGTATGCGCGACGGCCATCGATTGTTTAACGAACAAGGAGTGCGAGCTGAGAGTGGCAGGTGGCACGAGGGTCGCATGGCGAGCAAGTGAATTAATAAAATCGGCGAATGGATAAACAGCCCCGAGCCAGCTGCACCCGAGTTGACGAGAGCGTTCATCCGTCGAGGAAGAACCACCACCCTCTCCTCGCTCACCCTGGTCTGCTGCTGACAAGTTGCTCGCGTCCCGGGAATTCTTTTACCCCGGACACGAGCGAACTTGGGAAACGGGGTCCGCCGATGGACGCCGGACGGAAAAAGTTGGACGTTCCTATAGCCTTGGAGGAAATCGGGAACGCGAGGGGTACGGTGTATCGGTGGCCGAGGGGGGAAGTATCGAGGAGGCAAAGTACAGAGCATATGCGCTTGTAAGAAGCACGTTGTTGAACGCTAGGAAGGGAAGAGGCGAGAAAGGTCCAGGTCGTGACCGGGGAGGTCTCGTTAGCGAAATTTTCGCGATGTTTGCCGGCGAGGAAATGGGAAAGCGTCGGTGACCGGGCCGTGATTACGATAACGGTAGTGACCTGGCTAATCGCTAAGGACGCGACACCGAGGCACGCGCGTGTTCCTAACGATTAGGGTGGTTTAGACGTGCAATTACAGCCATTCAACCTGCTATTAACGACCCGCGTCCGGTGCATCGGATTGCACCAGGCTGCGCCTTAATACCCGGCGTACTCTCTGTCTTTATCCCCGATTGCCTTTCCGTTCGGGCGATTTTAAACAACGCGACGACCCGAGGGCACCCGGTCTCTCTCTAACCCGCGTTCGTCTGATTTCAGGAGCTGGTGTTAACCACAGACGGTGACAAAAGGCTGAGCCCGCACACCAGCAGGATAGTAGTGAGCAATTGCTCGTCCGTGATCCTGATGAACTCGAGCCTAGCCTCGATGGTCGGGCTGCGCGCGGTAGACCTGATCAACGTGGCGAACCTAAGCCTAGTCAGACAGAGCTTCGAGCTATCTCCGAGGAGCACTCGCACGCGGATATCCGTGAGGAACTGCAGCATCGACACGATGCCCAGTTTCGTGTTCAGAGGCGACGTGGAGGCGATCATCTTGGAGAACGTGAGGATCGGTCAGCTGAGCGCGTTCTCATTCGCGAATCTGGTGCACACGGAGAACCTCAGGCTGGAGAACTGTCGCATAGACAGCATGGAGGCCCAGGCGTTCAAGAAATTCGACGTAGGTTACCTGCGCGTGATCGGTAGTAGCTTCGGGGATCAGGTGCCCAGTAGGACGATGAACGACATCGAGGTTTACCACACGTTCTTGCTGGACGGCGTGAAAATGGGCACAGTGAGAAGTGAAGCGTTCATCGTGAGGAGCCCGCGGACAGTGGCGATACAAAATTGCATGGTGGAGAGCTTGGAGAGCGAAGCTTTCGACGTGACAGCACGAGGGGCTGTGATCATCAAGAACAACACGTTTGGCAGCCTCTCCATAGGCGCCTTCCTGGGTATTCGAGCGGACCCCGAAGCCAGGACAGTGCCTGCCTCCCTACCGACCAACCTGCACGACCTCATCTTCAAGAATAACAGCGTGGTGAACTTCGAGGAGGGTTCGATGATGTTCGACAGGAGCAGCTTTCGCCTCGAGCTCGACAACCTTCTGGTGGACCAACCGTGCGACTGTCAGATGTTGCCCGTATGGAAGAACAACATTCTCAATTACACCAACGTCTACTCGAGGTTTTACACGAAACAGAACCAAGGACTACTCCCTACGTTCTCGCCTCAGGACCCTATCAACGAGACCCCGGAGACGTTCCTGTGTTCCGAGGGTGAGGTGAACGGAGTGCCTACTAGCTTCGTGGAATACGAGACGCGACACTGTTCCCTGGGTGGGTCCATATTGGTCCTCGTGCTCATCGTCGCGGGCCTACTCGTCCTACTCATCCTGCTCACCTGCCTGATAGTCTGGTGCTGCAGGAGGCGCCGTCGGAACAGCAGGAAGAAATGGATCAGCGTGCCTATGAACACACCTGACGTCGTGTCGAAAAAGAACGGGGTGATAGGTAGGGAGGCCGCCACGTCGGCAGCACCGGTCGACAGCCGGATAACGATGGTGGTGCCTGATGGCAGGCTCTACAGGGAGACCGAGTTCCACGTGATCGTGGAGAAGGCAGAGCCACTGACTACCGAGTTGTAACGAGAAGCTTCGCACGGCTCGACGACTAGGGCCGTGGTAGCTCGAGTCGAAGAAGAATTCCAGTGGACCGACAACTCGAGCCGATTTCGCGTGTACAAGCTGTGAACCGGGCGCGGGACCTACCCCGAACCGGTGCTACTAATGTGTGACGAACACGTGCACCGGTTTCTCAGTGCGATTGCAGCTCGGGACTACTTGTGTGACACGTACGGTACATCGACCGTTAATCTTCCGGACTAGAGCGGAACTCTTCCCTCGCGAAGAACGCGACTGTACACCTCGGACACTTTTCACCTACCGTTGTCGACTATGATTGGCGAAGCGGCTTGAAAACGAAATAGAAGAGGGGAATTCCGAATCTCCCTTGTTTTCAATTTAATCGACTATCCTTCTAGTACAAGGCAGTTCGTAAGCTTCCATTTACATATCACGAACGAGCACCGATTATCCAACGCGTTTCTCCCTGCTTCTCCGTGGATCTGTTCCCACTCTTTCTTTCCCCCTCCACATCCCGCTCTGCTTTCAAAGCAGTCACGTTCCTCTCGATAATTAAGAGTTCTTCCTCTCTTCCGCGATCGAGGACACGTGCATGGATAATCGGAGCGCGTTGTTAGTTAAGTTTATCGTGTTAAGTAGCTTCCATCGAGTATATGGCGGAGCAGCGAAGAGAAGAGGACGGAGCGATGGGAGGAGAGGGAGCGAGAAGAGCGCAGAGGGGAGTGATGGAAAGCAACAACGGGGAAATGCTAAGCTCGCTGACTCGTGTAAGATACGCGATTGGATCGACCTTTCGCACTTCGTCGCTTTTAGGTTTATCGATCGATAGCACGCGCTTGTCGACGTACCCGTCTCGTGCGTCGATCAACGTTTCGAGCCGAGGCTCGTCGCGCGTACGAAGAACCGGCAAGATGTCTGCCGATGATCGCGCGTTCGCTCGGAAAGCAGTGCCATTCCTATACAGATGTCAGTTCGTGCACGCTCCATTTAAACGGACGTTGGAATCCCGAAGCTAAAGAAAAAGGGAATAGAAGGTAGCTGAATTCTCTCTCGTAAGTTTCAAACGAACCCGAGAACCGATATTGTTCGCTCCCTAGACACCCTTCGAACGAATAGCTGTACTATAATCCCGTTCGATTCTAATTGCGTTTCTAATCGTGCTTGTAACACAATAAAACATATTACCTGACACCCCTTGACAATACGAGATAATGAGACGACACGAGTATATCTGAAATTACTACTAGCGTACTGCGAGAAGATCGAATGTATCTGCGTTAAACGTCGTATAATGGTAACGAAATCTAGGTTATGTTAACGACAGTTTGCATTCTGTTTCGACGTAACGAACGTAACCCGATCCTTTCTCGAGTGTTCAGACCCTTTCGCGGCAGTACGGAATCGTTAATTTATTGTATCATTTCACCTGCGACATGCTTTATTTATGAGCTTTGGACTTTGCCAATAAATTGTTGTTATTGTTATCACTCCGATCGGTATCTAATTTTGACAAACGCGCCGGGGGAGGATGCACGGCGGACGTAATCGATTCGCCACGAGGGAAACGATGCGCATTTCGAATTCGCCCGCTAATCTCGAAACCGAGAGAGGGAAGAACGTCGGCTGAGTAATGCGTGCATACGTTTAACGTAAAACCGCAAGCGACTGCCGCGCTTACGTATCGTTCCATGCTTTCGAGCCACCGCCTTCCAGTGATTAATAGACCCGATATAATTCGTCCTCTTCTACGTTTCATCTAGGTAAGCATCGAGGCATTCTACACGTCGAACGGAACAGACGAAGGTGAAAGGGAACCTTCGGAATTCGAGAAACGAGGAAACGGCTGAACGAAGCGGTTCGCGAAAGGGAGACGATTCGTTCGACGTTGGAGCGGAACGTTTTGCGTTTTAAAGTACAATGCGAGCACCGTAAGCGACGCTTTGTCCCTCGCATGTGCAGCTATCTCGCGCACGTGTTAGCCATGCATTATTGATGCCGCCGCCACTTCCTCTACGTAACGACTCTCGCGGCGTTGTTTCTTTTTATCCCGGAGCTACGAGCTGAAATTGGTCCTCGGAGCTCCTCGAGATTATTCAGCGACCTTCCCGTCGTTACCTTCAGCTTCGTCGTCGCACGCCCAATTAGAGTCCGCGCGCGAAAAATGGCGCGAGACGAAATGGATGCTGGGACCCCCACCTACCGGCCATCGTGTATTCACGCGTACATAACCGCGCACGTGCGAGTATACATGTACAATTATCGTATTTTCCCGACAAATTGAGTTTCTTTTTCTCTAAGAACGTTTTAGTTGTAATTATCGTGAGACTGTGATATAACGACAGCCGATTGTATAATTTGTTTTACATCGAAAGGGACGTCGTACCATCGATCAGAAGGAGATAATAAAGATGAAGTTGACGCATAGTACACGACAACGACTAGATGCCTAATCGATATTCCCAAAATATAACTTTCATACCCTCCCTGAATACACTTTTTTCCTCTCTCTACCCCCCTATATCCGTAACGCAAATATGCATGTACGTGCCGTATTTATGTAAAGGTTCGCTATATATCGTTATCATCGGTTATTTGCGGTTTGCTCGCGTAGAAATGTGAAAACGTGAAAGCTACCGCGACTATTCATTTTTCCGAGACATAATGTACCGATTCACCAGCCGCGTTATAGTAATCCGATTATAACCGAAGGTAATGCATTTTTGACGAATCCATTAATCGATTTGCTGTTTAACCATTGCCGGCGTTAAAACTGCCATTAAAAAGGAAGCAGCGGAACGAATAAGAGTTTTATATCGAATTAACGATCCAGAATTTCGTTTCGCTCTGTTATATTTTATTTAATTAAATTCTACGGACTGCGCTGGGTTGCCAATAAAAAGCGCCGCTCCTTTTTAGCCTCAGTTTTTTACCGACAACTGGTAGAGTAAATGATTTAGTACTTACCTGAACGGAAGAACACCGTCGAGCGCCTGAGAGACCGTAGGAGGTGAAGCTAGGGCGAATCCTCGTCCAAGTAACGTCGAGTGTACGGAGAAAATCCTCTTTGCAGTTTCTTGCATCAGTTCCAAATCCTCTTCAACTTCTTCATCTGCAAAAGTATAGTCAAATTCATTAACAGAAATAATTATTAAACATCGGTGAATATAGTTAAACTACAAGTATATGATGAAAATTTACATTAACAACAGAGATGATTGTAAATTGTAAGAAGGGGAATATTGAAATTGTAATAAATAATACGTACTAGATACAGGCGGCAAAGCAAGATTTCTCTTCATAAGACTGGCAGCACAGGCTCCACCGAGAAATGATAATTCAATTTCCAGATTTTTTAAACCATTTCCCGATGTTATCCAATCGTATCCGATTACCAGGCATTTAAATCCGTATGTGATTGCTCTGTCGTTCCGCATGTAATCAGAAGCAGTTTCCAACGAGAACATAACTTCGTTTCCTAAGACAAACGTAACGATTGTTTGAAATTTTGAGCACGTAGCTGAAATTATTCTACGATGTGTGAATGCTTACCTGGTAATACGATCGCGTTTTGAGGCCATTGACTTGGTACATTACTCAGTTTATGCAAAACAGGCCAATGCAAGGGTACGTCTTCTGTTGCACTTATTCTAAAAAGAATACGTCAGAATAGATGACATCACGTGGTTACTTCCATCGAGGAACTATTGGGAAACGTAAATCAGTTATACTTACCCCGCGAGAGAAGGAGAGATGATATTTGGAATGTACAATTGTAAATAATCTTCTGGCTGAGCTGTGCCACACTCTGGCGTGAATTCAATAGTTAACCATTTGACCGTTTCTGGGAAGGTGACCCTGTAATGGGATACTGTAGCAGGTTTATAAGGATGATCACTTTCCAACCAGGTATAATGATGACTGGTAGTAATGGGTGTTGGGGTATGAGTTTGAGCTTCACTGTCTTGAGATATTTCAGACGATCCCATTGTAGATAATAAATTAAGTGCCGCAACATGAGGTAACATTTCTTGTATCAAGGTAAGAATCTGGACTCCACTCTGTGAGACAGAAAAACGAAAGGGAATCATTTATTTGACCGGTCTAGAAAATAATATATCAATGGTTATGAAAAATACAAGAATCGTTATCCTTACCCTAGGGTCTGATGTAGCTAGTGGACTGATGTGTGCCATAACCAGTGGTAAAAGAGTTGTCACAAATGCCGCATTCCCAAGGACTTCTGTAGCTACCATTTCTTCAGCCCTTTCTCTCGCTAACGCAAAAATTTCGTTTGACCTTTGAATAATTGTTGCTGTCATGACAAGGGCACATTTTCTCGCTTGTACCTCGGCCATTGCCTTGCTTGTATGTTGACCGTCGGAATCTTGTGGGTTTGAATAATAAAGGATATGCGGTATTTGACCTCTGGTCTGTGTCGTACCTACAAAGATAAAATATATTATTTTTCTCGCTTAGAGAAAACCATGTTATATGTCTAACAATGCACCATTAAAGCTTAAGGAGCAAGCCGTAAAAGTAAATGTAGTTCCGTCGGGTCCTTTAACGACACTCAAACCACCATCACCACTACTTGTACGTCCTCCACGGTTTCTCAGTCTAATAGCGTACTTTACATTTTCCTTAATGGGTATAGGTTTATCAAATTTTAATTCTACTATGTCGTTAACACAGTCATCTGGGCCGAAAGAGCCACATGTAAAATGCAAACTACTCCAGCGCTGAGTATGGGATGGATCATTACCCGTGTTATTTTGCTACAAAATGTATAATACGATAATGTTTAAAACAATAAAAACTATTTTTATACACGAGTCTGAGATGATACTCACATCGTCGAGTAGTTCTAACTCGTAATCATACATTCCAACGCCACCATAAATTCCCACTCCAGCGATAACGATACCAAGTCTATCGACCGAAAAACAAATCGCATCCGGGGAGCCATTATTCCACGATCTTATTTGATTTACGCGAGTAAATCTCGAAGGTGTAGTGTACATAAGTCTTCCACAAGCAGCTTGAAGTTCATCCTCACTTCCACTAGATTGGCCTGCTAACTCAGCAATCACTCGCGCTAACAAATAACAACAATGAAGTACCAATTCTGGCAGTGATTGAGTCTTCTTTCTGCAAAGACTTTTCTTCACAGGGACTAGAATCAAATCTAACAATCTATCGAGGACATCACGGAACGACCAGTTTAATGTCTCTTTGCCAGAACTTTCCACTTGAGATTTATAACTAATCTGCTCAACTAAGATTGGATATTGATGACTTTCGGCTGAGTTTATCATTAACAAGCCAGTATTATCGGATGGACTAAGTTGTCGTTTTATACTGTCACTGTTACTACTGCTATCCATGATGTTATTTAAAATTGGAAATGTGCATCGAAGACGAATGGTAGGATTACATAAAGCAGCTAAAACAGCCGATAACAGTCGATCTTTCGCAGATCTTCCTTGCTCCTGTAAAAAACCGTAAATTTTTAGTTATTTTATGAAAATCCTTTAACTTATAAAATCACGAATACATACTCTGTCAATTTCTGATAACAATTCGCATAGGCATGTCCACTTTAAATATGCTGTCGGATAAAATGCATGATAGCAAGCTACAAATGTTCTATGACATTCATCCAATATGCTATTTGTCATTTTACTATTTATAACACTAGGACCTAAAAAAAGATATTTATATTTCATTATACGAATAAAGAATAATTTTTTAAAAGAAAAAAATAATTTTTTTTTAATAATTTTTAAATTATATTGTATGGAAACTTACTTTTGCTTACTCTCGTTTTTCCCTTGCTTTTCGTATTTAGTGGCATACTATCGGACAAAATTTGATACAACAATGCGCGTACTTCACCTATGCATTCTGCTAGCCGTACCGATTCAGCCGGAGTTTTCTTTCCCACTGAAATATTTAATACAATTATAATACGAAATATCTGATACAAAATTCATTACCCACCTTGATTGGGATAAATTTCGTTGGTGTAAGTTCTAAGTAACCGTAAACTAGCTTTACTAATATAAACTAAACGCTCCACTTCGAGTACTGTATGAGAAGAAGCTGCCATGGTATCATTTAATGCGGCTTTTAACGTATTCCAACTCCATTGAAGGAGAGATATCAATGATTGAAAACATTCCTAAAGATAAAAAATATTTTTAGATAAGTTATTTTACATTTAATATTAAAATAATAAAAGAAAAGAAGAAAAGAAAACACATACCTTAGTGACTGTTCTGCTGAAATCTCTTTTCAGTACATAAACTGGTTCGATTCGATCCCTTTGTCTATTAGGAGTTTGATTTTCAGGTGTGACAATTCGATACAATAATTGTGGAATTTGACCAGCATTTACATCAGATCCATTATTAGATCTTTTCGATGATTTAAAATAGAACATAACTCTGGTGGAACAAGGCAAATAAAAATGATTATACATCATACATTCACATTGCTTTAAGTAGAAAAATTTATTTTTACTAACTGATCTTCTGCTGTGACCATGCCTTGACCACCAGATCCACAGTCACTGGATGGACCCCTAACTTTAGCCCATGCAACATACCACCTGTTTGCTTGCAATGGAATTGGTTCATAAAATAAAATAGAATATTTTTGTCTCGGTCCACATTCATATGGTATTTCTTCTGATTCTGCTAGTAGTTCTCCATCATTTTCTTGATCCCCTCCATCCATCCCAATATCAAAGAGCTGAGATGATACAAGATGGAATGATAATGTAACTCTTACCAGAATTTTGCATGATCTATTGAAGAAGCTTAAATATATGATGTACACTTAATACCTACTTTTATTTTTGCTGTATATTCTCCCCGACCTCCGAATAATCCATATCCACCTAGTAAAATATCAGTATCAGGCATAAATCTAATAGCCTCGATTGAATGTGCAGAATATCCCCAGCCACCACCATGGCCTAAAAATATATAGAATGTTTACTGAAGATATAGCAAAAAATTTGTTCCTTTTTCGTATCTTCTTTATACGCACTTTCGAATCTATTGACTGTAACAAAATCTTCACGACTGTACACTTTTCCATGTATCGATTGATTACATTCATTTTCCTCTACTATAGATAGATTTTCGTCTTGTGCTTGGGTGAGGGTATCTAAACAACCCAATAAATGCATTGCAGCCTGAGAACGTGTTACAAAACAGTTAGCTACTACAGGTAGTGCTAAGCCTGGACTCAAAATAGATGCTTCCAATCCAGAAATTGTTCTAGCTTCTGTTGATATGATATTATACAAACTTATTTCACTATTCATAGGATTAAAAGTCCAAATCACGTTATACAAGGGATCTAAACATGTAGCACAATTACTGAAGTCAACTTGATCTATTCCACTATAACTGTTGCAAGTACCATCCCTTTTGCTTATAACTAAACATTTGAAGGAATTTGCATGATCAGTTTGATGTGGAATTAAAACTGAAACAAGTTTTTTAATAATTAGTTATGTTTGTTCATATAATGATTTACAGCAATGGTTTACAGAGAAAGACATACTTATGCAATTTTTATTTGCCATAACAGTACTCCTTGTTAAACTAATAGAATTTATTTCATCAATTTTGACATAAGTTTGATCTCCACTTGCACCAACCCATGTTGCTCGTCTACCCCATTGCGGGCCAATATTTGGAACTACATTTGGAAAGCAGTGCCGCGGTTGCGTTCTGTCAGGACGACGGCTAACTTGTGGAGTAGAATTTGGAAGTTCATTTTGTCCATTCCACCAATTTATGCCCAATTGTCCTTTCTATATATAAGAAATACATATATCAAAATATTATCTTTTCTTTTCCATTATCATAGATGGTTGAATCTAGGGTACAAACTTGATAAGCTCCAAATGTAAACACTTCCCCTTTTGATGTAAGTACAACAGTATGATTGCTACCAGCAGCAACTTGTGTTATAATTCCAGATAATTTAACATGAACTGGTCCAGCATGTGGTACCAAATCTCCCACACCTAACTGACCATATATATTACTTCCAAAGGTATAAACTTCTCCATTTTGCAAGAGTACCACTATATGTAATATAACATAATTATTAAATTCTACTTGTATAAATTTACTAAAGAGCAAAAATATATTCTTAATAAGTATTACCTGTATGGTGTAAGCCACATGCTACTTGAACCACAGGGCTTTCACTAGGTATAGGAACTCTAGCTGGTGGTATACTAGTAATTCTTGCAACATCACCACGTTCAATGTCACTCCCACCAATACCATCTTCATTTATTATATTAGTACCTAGTCCTAATGCCATTTTTCCGGCAATTTTTTGTATCACGATCGGTCCAGCTACTTTGCCCCAAAAATTTAATGTTATATTAATTATTAGAACTCAATTTCATTTGAAAATATATTCAATACATCTATTTTATGCAGACAACTACCCAATCTTTGATTATTCGGACCTTTCATCTTCATCTCATACTTTGCAGTACTCGGACCTGCCTTTGTTCTTTGCTTTTGCTTTATTTCCCCTAAGCATTTTTGTAAATACTCTCGAAAATTTGAACTTGATCTACCTAAAATATAATACAAACTATCTATGAAAAAAAAAAAAATAACAAAATTAAAATTATTTTAATAATTACAAATTAAATTTTTACCATTAGTACAACTTTTTCTTGCACACGTGCGACAACATCCACATTCTGCGCATCCGCTATCACCTTCACCACACCCACATTCCCTGAAAATACATACTTTTATTTCTTATACCATGTATATAACTTAGTATACGTACTGGCCTGGATTTCGATCTGGTCGTATACTGCTTAAACATGATATACTATTGCCAGTGCATTCTCGACATACTGTGCAAACCATACAATCACGCTGCCTCCATTGATGTAATCCTGGTGGACATATTCCTCTCATTTCTTCCCAATCTTCAGTAGATTCCATACCATCTAAAGGTATATGAAAATATTAATTTTCCTTAGATAAAACTAAGAAGCATTAAAATTTGCGTTATATATGTATATCGTTACCTTCTTCAGTCACTAAAAGTTCATCTTCTGCTGTACCCATTTCTACAGCAACCGTAGAGACATCTTTATTTATAGTACTATGAACAGTGGTAAAATCTCTACCACATTGTCCCTTATTATTAATTCCAAATGTATACAAATGTCCTTTGTTAGTTAATGCTGCAGCATGAGCTTTACCTAATGAAACATGAACGACAAAAACGTCTCTGAGATCAGTAACTATTCCCGACACAGGATCACAATGTAGCGTGTCTTTGCCAAACATCAGTAAGGAACCCTCCTTTGTAACTAATGCTGTTGACCCATTATTACAAGCAGCATCTACAATGAACTGCCCTTCTACTTTCGCTACCTTTTTTGGCTTAACTGGCTTAGGTTGACGTCTAATTTTAACTAAAGATAAAAGATACAATTATTTAATAAAAATATCAAACAATATTACCCATTTTATCATAAAGTAATAATATATTTACTACTATCGCCATCTTCACCACGCCTAGCGGTACCAGCAAATAAAACCGAACCGTCTTCCATAACTATTACAACATGTTGACCATCATGACCAGCTGCAAAATTTGCAAGTCTTGGACCTTTTCCAAGTGTTAATTCTACCCACCTATTAGGCCTTGTGTTACTTTTCATACCAAGAGAGGTTCCTTTCCCGCTATACAGAATCTTTAAAGCACATTATAATGTATTTCACATTCCTAAATTATTTATTATTGAAAATTTTAATTCATATTTGCAAATAGTACATTACTTACTTTGCCAGATACAGTTTTTATTAACGCAAATTCTTTGCCTGCAGTAACTGTAGCAATTTCATCATCACAGCCTGGATTTAATGTATGTGTGGTTTGTTCTTCATCAAATGCAGCATAGCCAAAAACATCTACACATTTTCTTGCTAATTTTAACGGCAGTTCTGATGCAACGGTTACTGAATTACTTAATGTATTTATTATTCTGACTACAAAACCATCCTGTCAAAAATTAATGATAAAAAATGTATATCACTTTTTGATTATTATAAATGTTAACAAAACTGATCCAAACACAAAAACTAACATCTTTTCCAGCTGTTATCATTCCTAAACATTCACCATCAGAAAACATAACGGAAGATGACCAATCACGTCCTTCTAATACAGCAATTTCCGTGACTGAAAGAGTTTCTGCGTCGATAATTAGTAATTCGCTCTGTTTTCTAGGTGTATATTTAAAATATAATGTATTCTAAAAAAGAATAAAATGTTATGAGAATATTCTTTGTAAAAGGGTACATTAAAAAGTAATTACTTTATTGAACTAACATTTGCATAACCAAGCCAACCAGTTTCAGTTGGATAAAAGTCTGCCTTCTGAATATACATATGACCCCAAATCGTTCCACCATGACCGCTACCAATTTTTAATAATCCTCTACTTGTATGCAAATACAGGTACTTTCCATCACTCACAAAACTTCGCCCATTTAATATTATATTACTTATCTCATTTGGTAACTTAAGCGTAGAAGTATAAATCTTAGCACATTTAGGAACTCCATATGTAATCCAGTCTGGCCGTGCAAGTTTCCCCAGTAAGACAGCTTGTACGCTTCTTTGCAAAGATGTTAACACACATGGCATCTATAATGTATAAATTATAATTTAAAATCTTACAACAATATGTCATGCTATCACAAATTTGAAGAAATAATATACTTGAATATTCTGAGCTGCTAATGCTCTTGGGCACATGAGTAAAGCTGCTATAGCTGCCAATAAACGACCAGTATCACCTCTAACAACCACAAGGCTTAATAAACATGCACAAGCAACTGCAGTCAAATGACTGCCATCATTGGCAGCTGCTGATTCTGGACCATGTGAAGTTGCAAGATCCAATAATAGATCAAAAAGGGGATCTAGAGAAAAGATAAAAACAAAATTTTCTATAAAAAAAAATAGTTTTATGTATATTACCAATAACATCCTCTGGTTCAGATTTCAGGCCTTCAGGAAGTTGTCCTTGTAGTACATCCAATAAAGCTGATAATGCTTTTGTACATAAAGCAGGATCAATTGTTCTGCTTTCTCTCATCAATGTGAAAACACTTCGTAAACCAATACCTACAATCTAAAGACACTTCAAGTTACATATAATTCCTTTAATACATATGTAATTTATAATTCCCCTAATTACCTTTGGTAAACTCTGTATAGTGGATATTCTATCTTCATCATCACTTTCTGTATCAATAGTTTCACTGTGTTCTGGTGATGGTGGAGAATTACAATTTGATACTCTATAAACTTCATTTGTTGTCCTATTATGCCTGTCTAAAATAGCATTTCTAACACTAGCAAATACAGCAAATGCAGAAGCATTGCAAGATAATTCTATTTCTGGTGGATTATTGTAATTCAAATCTCCACTCAAATCAATCTGGAAATATTGAAGGTATAAGGTAACTGAAATGATAAGAAAAAGAAAGAATAAATAAAACATAGAAAAAGTTAATAATACCTTTTTTTTATCCCTTTTACGTATAGATTTATTTTTTGTACATTTTCTCCATTCTTCCTTATTTCTAAAAAATAAGATAAATAATATAGCTTATAAGCTTTTGTAAATAATATTAGTATTAATGGTTTCTTAGAATAATTGATATATTTGTATTTATAAAGGAAAGTGTTGTAAAAACAAACATTTAAGAAAAAATATTAAATCTTTATTCCTTTTAATTGACCATAATTATATGTTTTCACAAATTCTCATATTAGATTACATAAATAACTAAGATTAGATAAATGATTCAGACTATCAATAGTAAATTAATTTATAAATCAATGTTCTACTTCGAGTAAGAACTGTCAAACTGACAGCCAGCATACAACTTTAATAAACAAACAATTTTAGGTTACTTTAAACATCAGGGAAAATTATGATGTATTTTGGTAGTTCGGCGACATCAAATGACATATTTAATAAAAATAAAAGTAGGATAATCAGAATTCTTATCATAATTATTGAATTTGATAAATGACAAATGAAGTCACCGCCAAAAGCGTCAAGTAAACAAAGCTGGAAGGAGGTTATACACATTTCGCACCTCTGTGCTTCAGCAATACTTTTAAAGAGGTCATAAAAGCATTTCACGTAAATCTCTGGTACAGGCAGCAATCGTTCGTGATCCCCAGACACCATGTTGTGCACAAAATTTTCAACGTACGAATCACCAATTCATTTTCGTAATACTATTGATCGTTGACATTCTCTCGTCTTCCCCATGTGATTGCATCGCACGGTTTATAAAAAGAGCCATTCGACGATTTTTATTAAAGTATTTATTTATTCAACCTGCGATTTTAAATTCACATATAACAAACAATCTAGAGACGTATTATTTATACAATATTCGAAAACGTCCAAAGATCCGCTTTTGATGTATGTTAAGAAATTCGTCTTGAAAGTACCAGACGGACCGCGACTGCTTTGCGATTTCGACTCTTCGATACTCATTATCGCTTTAACGCAGATTATCCTTCGATATGGCGGCTACTCTTCAAATAAACTTTCATTCATTACTACATTTCCATTAACTGAACTCATTTGCTAAATATTATATATGTAGGAATATTTACAAATCCGAAATTCTTAAACTTCATCACTCACATATATAGACTAACGCATGCAGCAAATTTCGATGTGTAGATTCCAAAAATATATATATATATATATTATATACATATTTTAAATATTCATATTTATTACTTATTTGAAGCGAAGTGAGAAAACAGCAATATCGTTAAAAAATTCTCTCTTTCAACTTAATATCTTTATCTCATAACACAATAGCGTTCTTAAGATTATGCGTATAAAATAAAGTTATTAAATATGACTTCGTCATTATAATATGTGACATGTAAAGCTTATATATATATATATATGTAAAAAATTATTCTTACTATATGTATTTCTTACTAATTATATAACTATAAAATATTTATGTTATCTAATTGAAAAATTATAGACGTCGTATTCAAAATTTATGTTACACAAAGTTGTATAGGAAAGTCTAGGAAAATATTCTATTCTTTTATCGAAATCTTCTATCGAAATAATTCAATGATATATTGGCAAATATCTTATCTATCACAATGTTAATCAATTAAATGTTAAAAATGTATACTGACGTAGAAAGCTTATCTCATATATGATTTAGAATTGATCAGTTCACGTAAAATATAGTATAGTGTGCATATCCTGTTATGCTGAGATTACTGTTTTGAAGATTATCGGGAACATAACCTAAGGAACACGATTCCGAGTGCTCTTATATTTAAATTTCCATTTTATAGTAGAACAAACGAAATAAATATGATATTCTAAATTATTTTGTGCAACGGATAATTAGAAAAAGTTGCTCAGTAACTGAATAGCTTCTTTCTATTTCGATAAAAATATAACCAAATGACAGCACTGAAGCACGTACGTAATATTTACAAATGTAATTCAATAAATTATTTAAATAATTATTGAATTTCTCTTTTTATAGGTAGGCTATTTTAACAAATATATAATTATAATTGTAAGCTGATTTCTGCTTCTTACATATTTCAATTGAACCTGCGTTTATCTATGTATTTAAAAAGAATGACAAGAGAGATAAATAAGAATGTAAACAAAAGTTTTAGTTAATTGTAATGAAGGGGAACATGATACTTGTGATATATTTTTAGTATGTACTGTAATAAAGTGTTTTGTTTGCAAGGAAGTTTAATGTTTACCAATATAAACACGTAAATTTACATGTGTAATATTATTATTTTCAAAGAAGACATCCTTTTTAGTTACATTGGATACAACAGTTAATAATATACATGTCACTTGATCGTGTAAATATTACTTAGAAAACATATGTGATAGTATATTTTTAAAAGTATCACCATAAACGTGTGGGAATGGGCAATTGTTTGTGCAAAGATACACCACAAGAACTTTATGTATTTTATGGACAAAATCATGCAGGGACTGAAAATACTATATCATCAGAATCAGTTGTAGGTTGCACAGTTGCATCTGGTGATATGACCAATACAACATTTAAGTTTCCAACGTCAGCTAACATTGATAAACTAGTGCTTGAAACTCTGGGAGTCATTGGTTCTCTTGTTGACAAGTAAGTGTTACAAATTATAAACCTTTCTATATAATTGTCATTACTATTAATATTGCTACTATTATTAATATTATTGTTATTATTATTATCATTATTAATGTATAGCTGTAAATCTATTATTAGACCTATTGATTTTTTTGTGTACATTCAGTGAACAGGAGACACCACCTGCAATGTTAAAGTTACATGCTATTGCTGACAAAGAAGATGGATGGTTACAAGTTGTCAGTTCGATGGTCAATGTTATTCCTATGCATAATCCATTAGGTCCTTCAGTCATTACTCTTCTATTAGATGATTGTCCATTACCATCAAAGGTATAATTGCACTTTTCCATGTTACTTGCCATGTAAAGAGATCCTGCTATAGGTATTTTAACTTGGTAGGAATTAGTTCTACGATTGTCACACATGTTTCAATTATTTCAAAAACTTGGAAATGTACAAACCAGTGCAACCCAACAACGTAACATCTGTGTGGTATTGGGTTGTATAGCAGACAAGTTAGCTGGCCCAAGTAGCATTGCTATATTATCTGATGAAACTTTGGATTATCTTATTTCAAATCTTGTAGGTATTTTAACTATATACGTATAATTATACATATAAAAACTGTGCTGAAAAATCTTGTTTCTTATTTGTTTACTATTTTAGAGGGAAGATATTGATCCTTATGTGGTATTATATTCATTAATAGCATTGGAGAAATTTGCACAAACGAGTGCGTATTAATTACAGTAAATAACGATATTTTGAATGATTTATATCTAAGAAACAAAAAAAAATAATAAAATGTGCTTACATTATTAGGTGAGAATAAAATAACTATAAAAAAACGTCTAATGGCAGGAAGGCCAAACCCACTGTTAGAATTGGAAAAATGGGCAACAGAAACTCATTACGTACGTCGTCAAGTGGGATTTTGTGCGCGATGGTGTTTAGACAACTTACGTAAGTATCAAAATATATCTGTTACATGTGTTACATATATTTTCATTATTGCATGTTTTACATATATTTTCATTATTACATGTGTTACATATATTTTCATTATTGTAGTTATAATGGAAGGTAGAAAGTATTCTCATGATGCAGTTGATATGACTGGTATCAATGTAATGTTAAATACAAAGGATGTAAGCGAGTACCTGAAAATATCACCTAATGGTTTGGAAGTAAGTTTCATAAGGTGTAATGTGCTCTATCAGATAGTGCTTGTATGATAAAACCTTTTTCCCCCCTTTTTTTTTTTATTTCTTTTTCCTTTTTTTTTTGTGTGTGTTCCTTTTTTTATCAAACTTTCAGGCCCGGTGTGATGCATACTCATTTGAAAGTGTAAGATGCACGTTTCAAGTAGACTCAGGAATTTGGTACTATGAAACACTTGTTATAACTACAGGTGTAATGCAAATTGGATGGGCTACAAAAGACAGTACATTTTTAAATTATGTAAGTTTTTATATTCTTAATATAACATACACTATTACAATTTTCATATTATTTTTACAAATTCTACTTTATTATTCTAGGAAGGATATGGTATAGGTGATGATGAATATTCTTTAGCCTATGATGGTTGTCGCCGTTTAATTTGGTATAACGCAAAGAGCGAAAAATATCATGATAGACCGTGTTGGAAAGCCGGTGACATTTTAGGTTGTTTATTAGACTTGAACAAATTAGAAATAATATTCTCCATAAATGGTGTACCATTAAAACCATGTGTTCAAGTTTTCAAGACGGTGCGGTACGTATACTTTCATTTACATCTACCGATATATTTGAATAAAAGATATATTTATCGCGTAACATTCCAAATAATTGTCTTAAACGTTATAGGTCTGGATTTTTTGCAGCAGCCAGTTTTATGTCATTCCAGCAATGTCTTTTTAATTTTGGAAATGTACCTTTTAAATATCCTCCGACTGATCGTGAATATCAGAAATTTAATGATTATGCTAGTTTGAAGCCTGAAGATAAGGTTGTGCTTCCTAGACACATATATCTAGACCAGTTGAGAAAACTTAGTGTTAGAGAGGATTCATGTACATTGTGTTTTGACCAAAGAGCTTCAGTAAGATTCCTACCGTGCAATCACAGGTATAGTATATTCGTTAAATCAGTATAATCGTTTTAGTAATTTTTAATGCAAGATGTATCAATTGTCACGTTACTTAAGTAAATACTTAACACGAAACACAAATGCATACCCTTTCAGAGGATTTTGCAAGACGTGTTCGAATCAGCTGCTTGAGTGTCCAATGTGTAGAGCTACAATCGAAGAGGTAGCTTCCGATAACACATGACACTACACGAACGTATCAGCATTTCTTAATCCTCTTCCACTATCTTTCTTATATTATATGATTCTCAGGAACTGTCGCGAGGTAATCATAATTGCAACACGTCGTGTGCATCACATATTGAATATAATTATAATATTTTATACATTTCTTTTCTTACAATACAGTATTTTAAATCAAGAGAAGGACTACAACTCAATCACAGAAAGCAAAATCACATTTAAATGTATCACACCTCTAAGATATATCATTCTAAATGTTACATTCATATATATAGATATAACATACAAATTATCGTATTGTAAATTCAAATTACAGAAGAATATCATCTTATATCTACCGGCTGTGCAAATTACTTTCTCTAGATTCTACCTAAATACACCTTACATCTAATTAGGAATCTAAAATAACATAGCAAGATAAAATTTAAATATTTTTTTTACACTGTACACATTAGACAAAAAGCTAACATTTGCAATTCACGCCTGAATTGTTACCAATGTATGTTGTACATTTCCAATTTAGTATTTGTGACTGGTTCACAAATATGTAGACACTTTTTTGTCCACGAACTTGAAGTTCTTTTCTGTTATATTATGAAAGTCTATATCATTTGTACTTGTCAATAATGACAAGCAAGTAACTGAATTTGCGCTGTAATGTAAAATTGATTTTAGAAAACTATAAAATATCGATATCTTGTAGTATATATGGAAAGAACATATATATATAAGCTCATGTTATATTCTTATGAAGACATAAAATGTTATCACATGTATAACTTTGCAAAACTTTTCTATAAATTATGTTGATTTTCATTCACAACCTTTCCTGTTATTTAATGCACTAGTTTAACGTTATTTATATGCGCTGAACGTATAAATTGAATGCTACATCTCTTTTTATTTATGTACTAAAAAGGAATTATTATTTTGTAATAATTTCATAATAATCAAAATTTTTTATTTTAAGAATAAAAATGTACATATGGCATGGTACATATAATTGCGCGAGTGTATTTTCATTGATATTCAAAATCCTAGTACATACGAAATTAATTTACTTGACAATTTCGTTGAACGTTGAAAGCATTTCATTGGTAGAAATGTTTAATTCTTGATTAAATTTTTACGTTGGAATAAAGTTATTTTCATTATACAGCAAGCATCGAACAAGTTTTAGTTACTTTTAAGATTTACAGAACCGTTGAAACGAGAATTAAAATTCGCAATATCGATATCTACGAATAACGTTGAGAAACGATCTCTCGATTTGGAGTTAGTTAAGCGCGTGGCCACGAGGGCGCGTCGCAGTTTGTTACAACATGGCGGGTGAGTGAGTGCCTGTGGATCGAACGAAGCTGCCCAAAAACACGAGGGATTTTCAGCTAACCCGTGGTGTTTGTGGGTTTCAGATATGTCCTACATCCAGAAAGAAGACCTGGACGATTCTAACGAAGGTGAGTACTGACACAGAAATACATTTTTGATGATTGTAAATGTGCGCGGAAGGGATCGAGTATTCGGCACGGTGGCCCCACCATCGAAGCATGCCAGTGTCTGGCGTGCATGGCGGTGGCGTGGTCGTAAACTCATGCTCGGTTAAGTACGTTCTATCTTGCATAATTTTCGAGTTGGGCCGACTTAGCAACATTATTGTCACCCATAACAACGCAGTTCAGATACCTTTGAACGGGTGTCACGTTGCAGTTCGACTGTAAGCCGTATGTCACGCCGTGATTCTCACATGCGCGACCAGGACATGAGAGTGCCTCGATGGCGTTTTATCGGTTAGGGGGCGCCACGAAACGTGCCGCGCTGTGTTTACCTCGACCGCAGGCTGAAAAAAGAAGAAAACAGAAAAAGGGCACGCGGTCGCTTTGCGTCCTCATGTATTGTTCCTATCTTTTTTAGCTACTTTCGCGTACCAATCGAAATATCGTATATTTTTCAGTGTTTCCTGAATGTTTATATTCCGACCGTTACTCTCGATTTATGACTGACGACATGTTACGGCAGTTAACGAGTACGTACGTTGCCTCACCAACTCATAGTAGGGTTTATTTTGATCGTATTTCATGTATGACTATAATAATGCTTGAATCATTTGAATTCTTTATATCGCTAATCTATGTAACAATAAAAATGTTCATTTACGCACATCGATATTATGAGTTAAGAATAAAATAAAATTATTCCTAAGATCACTTTCGAAGTTTTATACTTGTGATATCGATACATGTGTTTCCTATTACGTCTAACTAACGATTCTAAAAACCGATTAAACGAAAGGGAATAAGTGTCCTAAAGGGCCGAAGTAAACGAAGTTAATGCGCGGTTATTCGCCTATCGGGGTTACTGATCTTTCGACTTCCATGTATTTGCTAGTGCCATCTGTCGCATATAAAACTGAACTGCATTATTAACCTTCAATAGAGCGTTTCGCGTGTGATTTTCGATCTTCTTGGCACACGTTTACGAAACACGTAACCTAGATATCGAACTTTAACGATATCGAAATTCAATTTCGCACTCGCGATTAATAATCGATTTATCGACGATACTTCCTACACGGATTTTAGGTTCTTTTTCCTTTTTTTTTT